CATTTCCTTAAACGCAGATTCTGAGCCAATGGAAATTTGTAAGTTTCGATGTATAGCCTTTAATATCAGACTGTCATGTAGGAAGAAAATGAGTAACTATCGACGCCGAGGTTCGAACGTGACACTCTGGACTTATGAATATATGTTTTCCGCCAGGTGTATAAATAGCGGTGTCAGGCTACTGACTGCGCTGATTATTGAGTGACTATTGAGTGGAATTATCCAGTCGAATTAGTGTGAATTATTGTGCGTCTATGATTTAGGTTTTGATTTAGGATTTACCAGACGTTAAGCCGAGCCGCGCTACTAACAAAGTATTTATTGAAATGATTAATTATCTTTGGTTGACTTTTACTTCTTTGTTCTTGTTAAGTATTTATTTGCAATTTTAATTACTGTTTTATTTCAATATTGAAGTCTTGAGTTATACTTAATTATTAACGGCCACCGTACGTCACAAAACAGACTCAACAGTGTTTTCGTTTCGACATCTATTCCTCTCTATTACCGGTGTGTTTGGATGTGAGTGGTTTAACATATGGACTAAGTTGCTTAATTGAACGATCTACTGGCACCGGTGGGAGGGCTTGAGCATAAGTAACTATATCAACACCAAAGCAGGATACTTATTTACTAACCTTAGTTTGGCACAGGGATATGAATCTGAAGCACCAAGTGAAAATCGGATCCATTACTCAAGAATAGTGATTTGTAAGATTAACTTAGATCACGAAAAGACGCTTAGGTGTTTGAAAAAGATGTTTACGAAGCGTGGTTTAGATTTTTTAAAGAGAATCCTTCATCAGATCCTATAGACTGACAATCAAGGAGCTTTATTAAATAACAAAAAATATATCACTTGAATGCTTCCAACAGCAACAACAACAACAAAAATAAGTATTACATATCACTAGAAAGGAAAATAATATAATTAGCATGTTGACTTCCCACACTACCAAAAACGAAAGGTTTGGAAGGAAACCCCCATCAACACTAGAAATAGCTATAATAATCTTGGGACTTGAGAAAGTCTAATTTCCTGTGGAACTGTGTTAATAAAAAAAAAAAAAGATTCAGCCTATAGTAATTCTGTTCGGACAATTGATTTTAACATTCACCATTACCATTAGTTTTAGTACATGGTCACAAAATAACCGCCACCTAGTGAGTATTGAACCACTCAGTAGTGATTATCTGCAAGACCAGTTATTTAACACATAGCTGGGACGGGGGAGTATTGATGCCTTTCCCAAGGGCATTAGTGCAAAATGTGAATATCAACTTAAAAAAAAAATACAATTGAAAATAATTTATTCAGTTTCTTTTAAGTTATACATTTTGATCAAATAATCTTATCTACCAAATGATATTTATACATTTTTCTAAAACGTTACTTAACACTTGAAAATGAAATTCAAATTTATCAACAAGAAAATACAAGCCAGGCTTTTACCCAGAGATTCTGACCCATAAAGTAATGATGAATTTATTAATTTAGATCTTGTTTGGCGAATTTATGTGGTTGTTCACAACGGGGGTCGCGACAGAGAGTAGCCAGTATTGTTTGTGGATAAAACAGCTAAGTTAATCGTGAAAGTGAGACAGGAAACAGCGCGTGAGTGGCGGGACAGATTGAATAAGGGGTGGGGAATGAAATGAAACAGATAGCTCAGGGGGCATTGAGATAGATAGATAGATAGATAGATAGATAGATAGATAGATAGATAGATAGATAGATAGATAGATAACAGATTGAAATAGATAGATAGATAGATAGATAGATAGATAGATAGATAGATAGATAGATATGAACAGACTGTGATAGAGAGTTATGAACAGACTGTGATAGATAGATAGATAGATAGATAGATAGATAGATAGATAGATACATACATACATACATACATACATACATACATATGGACAGACTGAGATAGATATATATCGAAAAATTGAGAGAGAGAGAGAGAGAAAGAGAGAGAGCTAGATAGATAGGTAAGTGTATATATATATATATATATATATATATATATATATATATATATATATATATATAAAATATAGTTGGATTGATGTGAGTTTGTGACCCTAGGTTTCACGCCCTTTGCGATTGTCAGACAAAGTTTGTCTGACGATCGCAAAAGCGTGAAACCCAGGGTAACAAACTCACAATCCAACCAAATATGTTAGCTCTATCTCTGATATTGAGCGCTTTCCAATAAGTACCGCACATATATAATTTATAAATAATATATATAATAAATTGCAAATATATATATTTTTATATTTATATACATACACATTTCACACACACACACACACACACACACATACACACACACACACACACACACACACATATATATATATATATATATATATATATATATATAGAGAGAGAGAGAGATAGATAGATAGATAGATAGATAGATATTAATCGACTGTGATAGATAGATAGCTGAGGAAAGACTGAGATAGATCAATCGATCGCTAGACAGATATTAAGACAATTTGAGTAGACAAAAAGAAAATGTTAGAATTCTTTTCACAATTGAAGTTAGCAGCGATAATATTAATTCCCCAATTTATACTTAATAAGATGAAATCTAGCAACACTCTTCTAATTTTCGAGATAAGCATTATCGATTATTACTTATTTACGCTTAATGATCTGAGATTTCCCAAAATTACAACGGAAATAAGTTGAAAAAGACACGAATTAATAATTGACTGTTTTTTGTCCCATCTAATACTTGTAGCAGCAGTCGTAATGTTATAAAAAAGAGTAACATAATAGTGGAAAACAGAGAAACGGATATAATTTTGTTTTAATAAATCTACCCCAAGCAAGGCGACGATACCACTAAGATGTAAGGGACTACTGGGAATGAAAGAGGATGAAAAGATTTTAGAAGGCACAGGAAAACAAATTCTAAACAGGAAACAAGAGATAACCCAATTATTCCTGTTGAAAAGACAGAGGTGGAGTGTAAACCGGTTCATAGGCGAACCTATCTACACGTATTGAGGAGAAAAAAATCAGTAAATAAAATTTCAAAGTTCTGTCCGAGACGTTAGGAGTATAGAGCTGTAATAGACTTTAGAAGGAACCAGAAACCCAATCCTAAACAAAAAACAAAGAATGAAAAAACCGGGGAGGGTTGTGAACAGGCGATAGATGAACCTGTCTATTTGAGCCATGTCTACGTGTTACGTTTCTATGGCAAAATCGTCGCTGTAAGGCGGACTCACGAGGAAAGGATAGGAGAGTTCAACACTTGCTTGGTTTGGCTTGGTTTAAGGTATATCAACCTTAATGGGTCACTTAATGACAACAGGATGACAAATGTATTGCTGGTATTAAAAACTATTTTTACACTTTCATAGTGTTTTGACCCATTTTAGGGGTTAACTATTTGCCCATACCTGGGACCCTAATAAATACTACCACCTTGGGTTCAGGGTGGACCTGAGAACACTAGCAATTGAGAGGTGATTCCACGCTCCTCAAAACCTCCTGATCAGTGGCCTTGCTGCTAGATGTAGTTTATCATCATACCCAGGTCGTGGATGTAGTTTATCTTCATACTCAGGACGCCTCATTGGGGTTCTTACCCCTCTGCAGAAGTGCAGTCGGCGTATTCTGAAGCTCCAACCAACAGGACAAACACTTGCTAGGAGGGTTTTTTCAGCTTAAAGGATTTGAGAGTTGTTATAAAAAGTTAAAGAAATGACATCAATGCTTGTCAAAAAAGTAACCATCACAATAAAATCTATTTTATCTTTGTAACCAATTATTTTAAAAAAAAATTAGGCTTCAAAATTGAGGATCAGTGTTCGAATATCACATGAAGTGGCCTGCGTTTACCTTACACTGAAACCTTAACTGATTGCGAGATACATTATTTACATTATTCGGACTATTAGACATGGCACGTGGAACTAGAACAGTCTACCCCAGCGAGCGAAATAAAGGGTTCAGTTCGACATTCAAAACACCTGATGAAAGCCGACGCGTACAACGACCGAAACGTTGTGATAAAATAGGCAACAAAAATGAGGACAATAGCCCGAATAATGTAAATAATGTACATAATACCTCATCTCAGAAATATAGAGAGATACAAATTTATGTCTTGGAAGTATTCTAACAGACAACGGGAAATGGGGCACCGAAATCCGAAGGCGAATGGGAATAGCAAAAGATGCCTTCTAAAAGCTAAGCAAAGTATTAAAGATCAGGAGTATTTCGTTAGAAGCAAAGAAAAGAATGCTGTACTGCTATGTTTTACCAATCATCCTATAAGGCAGAATATACTGAACAAATTCCTGAAATAACTCGGCTCATAAAATGAGTTCTTCTGTTTATAATAGTATTTCTCTTTCTCCCTGTATCGTTGTTTCTCTCTTTTCATTTTGCCTCGCAATATATGACATCTGTCCGGAAATATCCAACTATTCAATATTAATATAGAAAAATAGTCTTAGTCCACTTCAAAGTAATTCTCTTTGAATTCACACTTGCCTCTACGTCGCTTCCATTTTTTTAAAACAATCTTTAAAGTCCTCTGTTAAGATCACTGTCAGCTGCTACATCGTGTTCTCCTTAATCTCGTCCACGGTCTTTAAAGGCGAATTTTAGCATGTAAAAAAAACAAAAAAGAAACAAAAAACAATTAACAAAGAACCAAATCAAGACTTGTGTGCTTTACAAACTTTGCTAAAAAGATAAAAAAAAAACTGAACGAAATATGTATTATCTACTCGCATGGTAATTGTGAATGAGACGGTTGCTGATGACATAGTAATCCCACTGGAGAATAAATACCTCTTCCCTAAATCTACATCAAGGCCGCGCAACCGTTTCTCAATAAGTTCAAAATGGCTTGTAATGGACAGATCTCGGACGTTTTTTATAAGCTCAACTTTTCGTTATTTCACTTCCTTTCCCTCTTAAATTTAATTTCTACCAGTCCCACCTTTACAATTATCTTTTTTTTATGAATATAGATTTATCTCTCTCCTTTTCTCTCTCCTTCTATCTTTCTCATTCTCTCTCATTCTTTCTTTCTTTCTTTCTTCCTTTCTTTCTTTCTTTCTTTCTTTCTTTCTTTCTTTCTCATTCTCTCTCATTCCCTCTCCTTTCTTTCACATTCTCTCTCCTTCTTTCTCACTCATTCTCTCTCTCCTTCTCTCTCTTATTCTCTCTCTTTCTCCTCCTCTCTCTCCTTCTCTCTATTTCTCTCTCCAATTTTCTCTCTCCCCTCTCTCATTCTCTCTTCCCTTCGCTATTTCCTTCTCTCTCTCCTTTTCTCTCTCATTCTCACTCCTTCTCACTCCCATTCTCTCCTTCTCTCTCTCTCTTCTTCTTCTCTCTCTCTCATTCTCTCTCTCATTCTCTCTCTCCTCTCTCCCATTCTCTCTCCCCTTCTTTCTCTCCTTCTCTCTCTTCTACTATGTCTCCTTCTTTCTCTCTCCTTCTCTCGCTCTCTCTCTCTCATAGACACTTTTTCTTTTGTGACATTTCCTTACCTTCTTTCTCTGTTTCAGTCTTTAAATCCTCTTACCTCCCTTACCTCAGCAAACACCTTTTCCTCAATTTTTTTTCTCTTCCATTTCAATTTTTGGATATATTTATCAACACTTTTTTCGCATTCTCTTTGAATTTACTCCCTTTCTTTCACTTCACACGTTTTTCTCTTCATCCCAAGTCAACAGACACGGCTTTCCTTTCCTTTTTTTTTTCTTCTAATTTTTACCCCGTATATTCCTTTTTTTTTTATTTCACTAGACACGCTATTATTATTTTTTTTTTTATTCTCCTCCTTTTCCTCTTTTTTTTTTTTAAAACAATGCGGATCGTTGTCGCCAAGCAGTCATGTTTTTCGTTACGGATTTTTAAGCCGAGGAATCAAACAGAGAAACCCCCTTCTAGCGTTCATTTGTAGCAATTTGTAGTTCCTAGAGCCAAACCATTACAACCCATGATGTACTACGCTCGGAACTGCCGCCATCTCCGCCTTTTATTGCCTGTCGGTCACTGCCACGGGGAAATGGTTTCACAGACTAGCCACTTAGGCCGTAAATATCAATCCGCCGCCGCATATAGTGCAAAGTGATGGACCATGGAGTGTATCCCGTTGCGTTTAGTGGGTGTAGAATAATGACAAAGAGGGAAAGCGGTTGAAACAGTATGTTGTTGTAAAATTAAAACAGAATGTGACATATTTTGTCAGTCAGTGGCATAAGGAGTGTCTCGTCTGCTTGTCTTCATTTCTTTTTTGCATTTCGCGTAAGTTTCCTTTTTCTTTTCGTGAATTTTGAATTCATTATATAAATATCAACAACTATTCCTGCTTGTTTCATACAGGTATTTATTAGCTGAAACTGGTAAAACTAGAAATGGGAGAACGTTTCTGAACATAGGCACCTCCGTGAAAATCGAAAGCATGACAAGAACGGCCTGAAACTTGATGAATTTTTTTTTTTCATCTTAAATGTATATTTCATTATTAAGAAGAAATACCAAAGTATTTTTTGATTATTTTTTGAAATTTTTTACTCATTCTTAGCATATCCGAAATTGTAGTTAAATATTTTTTCTTTTTTTTTTGTGAGCAAAAAAACTCATGTCAGCCATTTTTTAAAATTTTGTAAACTAAGCTAAATTCCTCATTTAAAGCTCGTCCAAAAATCAATTATACGTTTTTCAAAATTTATTTCAAGAAAATTAGAAAATTTAAAGTTTATTTAATATATTTTGAAAGAAACTTTTACATACTTTCTTCGCAGAAAAAAAAAAGTTGTTTAAAATAAAAGGGAGCCACTCTTAACGTCGTTGGCGATTGACGAGTGCTGAATGATGACATTCATCACGTGAGATTCGAGTTATCATACGGAAGGATGGAATTGACATTTTTAAGTGAACTAGCAGCTTGTATAGTACCTCGTAATTATTGAAGTTAAAAAAAAAAACTTTCAGCATTCCAATTTTTTATTTTGTTTTTTAATATGTAGCTTTCACCATAAGTTTGTTGATACTATTTTTTTTTAAATTCACCGATAAGGAAATTTAAATCAAATTAATTTTAACATATCTGGTCAGTATAAGTAGTACCCTACAGCATAACAACTACCCTTGGTACATGGCAGCAGCCCCCCAAAAACTGGGATAGGCAGGGACAAGAGGAGGACAACAACACTCAGAAAACAATCTGCCTGCTTTATGTGAAGGGGTTATCAGAGAAACTACAAAGTATCTGCGGTTCATATAACATCAGGACAGCCTTCAAAAGCTACACGACACTTCGCAGATATCTCTCCCGAGTAAGACTCCCCCCTCATAAAGGAGAACATGACTAAAGACTGTGTGTACGCTATCCCGTGCAGCTGCGGAAAGAAATATAAAGGGGAGACAGGCCACCCCCTCAAGGTAAGGCTTCAAGAACACCAAAAAGCTGTAACACGAGGGGAAGTGGAAAAATCAGGCGTGGCTGACCACATATGGAGAGAAAAGGGAGATCACCGCCCTCTTTGGGATCAGGTTGAGATCATAGACAAAAAACATTATTGGGAAATACGTAAACTTAAGGAATCAGCACATATTCTACACCACAAAAATCTCCTGAGCCGACCAAGCATAGAAATAAATACAAGATGGGAACCAGTAATAAGGAGTGCCAGAGAAAAGCGACAATAACAACGAAAATTGCAATATGAGCTCTGGTAAAAACATGAAATGATAACAGCAAAAATTGCAATATGAGCACTGGTTAAAAAAAGGTTGCTGAAGACATTAGGTTTATAATACCTAGTAGATGGTCGCAGCGTACAACGGCCGAAACGCTGCAATAAATATGGTGACAATGATGTAAATAGTGTACATAATACCTCATCTCAGAAATACAAAAACTCTAAAAAGAAGGAAATTTTTTAAAAATAATTAAATAAAATACTTTGTTCTTTTCTCCTAATAATAACAAACATTTAGACGATAAAATTTTGTTTTCGTCTTTTAGATCATGCTATACTCATTTTTTAGCGATTTCTCAGAGGTACCTATATAAGCAACAATTTGACAGCATAAATATTCAGCACAACTAAATCTGCTACTGTTTACTTTTTTTTGCTTACTAAATCTTGGTTAGTCTAGCACAAGGCTACAAGCTGCAAAGCATTATGTATCACTTGCATTATGTATGACTTGCTATCAATGCGTGATCAATAATGATGTCCGTGTAGAATCAAAAAAAATATTTTATATGCTTTTAAGCTTTTCTACTATCGAGGATACTCATTATTGAAGAAGTTCTTTCTACTCCTTTTATGTGTCGTGTCTCTTCAGGACGTGGGAAATCATGGCTCTCCACAACTTCCTGTCCTTTGTAGCGTTTAGCAATGTTTATCCCATTCCTTGTTCTGCCATCCTTGTACACACGCTGGTTAAGCAGGTTATTCTCTGTGGTTCTTTGCCCCTTCTGCTTTTAGCAGATCCCGTGTGTCACAAATTCTCCAAGCCTTCTCTCTTCATTGGGAGGCTGAAACGTGAAAATGCATCAAACATCTTTGCAATGATTACTTTAACATTTTACACAATTGTGATTGTTTACCGAGCATTATATTAAGTACATTTTGCAACTAACGCCCGCTTGGTGACGTTGTAGAAAGCATTATAAAATTATAAAGGTCTCGAGCACTCTTTCTCTCCCCCCCTCTTCCACCACAGAATTCTGTAGTGACAAGACGTGTCTCGTTTTCCCTCTGTAGAACACTTAATCCCTAGGCACACCGCATGTCGCGTGTCGAACCCACTACGCTGTCCAGAAAAAAACTCATGCGACCATAATAATATCACCTCTACTGCACGTTTCCGAACACAGCCGTCTACCAGGATGGCTAGCAAATCTTTATTACAGGCGCCTGCTCAACCCACGGCATGCTGGGCGGACCTTAGTTACAGTTTTGGGGAAATAGTGCATAATGTTACATGACCAATTTAAAAAAAAACCAAACATTTTGACTTGCTCTCCCTAAGGAAACTCAATACGTCAATTCTGAATTTAAAGATTTTACCAACTGCTGCAAAATCATTATCAATATAAAAATAAGTACATTTAAACATTTTTAAAATCAATTCACCCCATGCAAGGCGATAATGCCACTAAGACACAAAGAGCTACTGGGAGTGAAAAAGAATGAAAAAAAGGAATTGGAAACCTAATCCTAAACAGGGAAATAAAAGGATAAATCAGTATTCCTGTTCAAAAGACTGGGGAGGAGTGTGAACCGGGCGATTGGCGAAGCTATCCACTCCTACTAAAAAGAAAGAAATAGTGAATAAAATTTCAGAGTTCAGGCAGAGATATTAGAAGCATCGAGTTGAAGTAGGCTTTATAAGGAACCCGAAACCTAACCGTGAACAGCAAACAAGAGATAAATATTTACTCCTGCTCAAAAGACCAAAGAGGAGTGTAAACCGGGCGATAGGTGAACCTATTTACTCCTATTGTAATGCATAATAAAATCTAACATAGTACAAGTTACCTTTTCTATTTTTCAAATCTTTTTTAAAGATGCTATTTACATGTAAATTATTTCTTTTCAGTGTATGCACATATGTAAAGGAGGAGAAAAAACAAATTATTTTAAAAATATGATATTCTTGATAGATTAAAATCCCAGTTTAAATCTTAAACAGATCTTACTTGTTAATATTCATTACTTTCAAGTTCAAAATAATATATTTAATCGTTTGATTTAAAAAGCAAAAAAAAAAAAAAGCAAAAGGTTAATCAGCTATGAAAAAACCCACCAGACTTAATTTTCTGGTAACAAATTGAAATAATCCACTTCATTCAACTGTTTTGTTCCGCTTGAATCTGTAACTCACCCTTTAAATATGTGCATTTAAGGAACATTATCACAAGGTTTAATCTCATCCTTTGAAATTTTAGAATTAAAGTTTGAGAAGGAAGTAAAGAATAAGCATCATCCTAATTGTATCCTTCATTTAGTCAATATGATTTTCATTTCCAGAGTTAAAGATTCTTCAATATTAAAAGAATAATACTATTAATATCTGATTAATCTGTATTATTATTATTTTTTTAAAATTCAAATATAAAAGCAATAAACTATTCTGAAAATCCAGGCGAGAAAACATATCCTCTATTATATTGAGTTATCTTTCCTTGATGTGCATAGGGCTTGCAAAATTATACAATGGACATCTGTCTCTATTTCTGAGATGAAGTATTGTAACTAATTTACATCGTTCGGACTTTGTCCTCATCTTTATTGCCATATTCACGATGTTACGTCCGTTGTATGCCCCAGTCTTTTTCAGGAGATATTTGTTAGAATTTCGAACCGAACTCTTTATTTAGTTCATTGGGGTAGATTATTCTAATTCCACGTTCCATGCCTTGTTTGGATAATCTCAATATCAGTTAATTCCCTTTAGCAACTCAACTCTCCAAGTTTTTATTCCCTCTGCTCAGTGGATAAAAACGTTGCTTGAGTAATCCAGATTGATTAGACCCAAAGAGTTGTGAGTTCAATAACTGGCCACAATTGAGGGAACAAAAACTTGTCAATACGCTTTAAATGAGTCTGCAATGTCATTTGGGATCTTTGGTGAATTTGTCAAAAACAGTACGTTTAAAATAAGTTTCAGATTTAGATGTTAAAAATTTCCGCGATTTTTCGTTCACCACTAAAAAAAATATTTCATTGATAAGATAGCACGCCACTAAGCAAATAGAGAAAATAAATTATTTATAAATAACGCTTATCGTAAAATAATTGTTAAATATTATTAACTGTACAGATATAAGTGCTTGTCCGGAAATCTGAATGGAACCTTGGCTAATTTCGTATATTAACTCTACTGTAGTCGGGTAACAGCTTATCACACACACACACACACACACACACACACACACACACA